TTCTGCCCAAATCAGGGGCATAAAATGAACGGCCCACAGGACAGTACCTAAAACCAAACAGGACAAATTAGCCCTCAAACAAATCAAACAAGAATGCGTCATCGTGTCATGAACACAAATAGAAGAAACATCTCTTACCTAGAAGTAGGTAATTCACGTAGAACAATGTCCAGAACCTGAAGCGCCTCCTGAGGTGCATCAGCTTGCCTCCCTTGCAAAAAGAGACCTAAATGGTGCAGGTCAGCGCGTGCAGCAAACTTGATGACCACTCTGAACTCCCTCTCTCTCCTGCATCAAGAAGAAAACCAAGATAAAATAAATGGTAAAGAAGAGTGCACGCATGATAAATATGCAACTAAAATTATGAGCAGCATGTACCTCTGTCCACCTGGTACATCGTCGTCATCAATGAGAATGATTTTGAACTCCTTTGAAAGAAAAGGAAGTGGTCCAGCAGTATACAGGCTCTTTCGTCCATCATAAGCTGGAAGACGCTTTCCAAGATGGGATTCCCTATACAGTTTCACTAGCTGCTCCATCACAGCACGGTTTACACCCCTTGATGTGACCTCTGGAGTAATAGTAACCTAATATGTGTAAGAAAAAGAATATATTATCAACTGTCAAACAAGTACAACATAAGAAGACAGACACATAGGATGAAAGAGCTCACATCATATTGGTGGAGATCTTTGTCTGGTAGTTCAGCAAAGAAATGGTTTGCCTTGACTGTACACCTTATGCCGGTGCTACCCTTACCAGGGCGGAGAGGGAACCTGACTGACTTACTTGAGGGCGCTGGCGCCGCAGGTTGAATAGCCTGTGAAGGTGCAGTCTCTTGCTCGATGGAAAGGTCCTTAAACTGCACCACCACTTCTGAAGGTTCGGGTGGCTGGGACGATGACGACGAACTCGCCTCATACGCAGGCTGAGGGGTGACCCCAGCTTGATAAGGAACTGGGGTTGCTTGGTGCAGCTCGGGGAATTGTGGTCTGGCTGGGCCACCCGGAGAAGGTGGTCCTCCACGACCACCACTGCCACGACCACCTCCATATCCTCCACGACCTCCTTGCTGGGTCGGCCCTCCCCTTCCCCTGCCTTGATATTCTTGGGGCCCACCATACTGCTGCTGCTGTTGTGGCACTCCACGGCCTCCACGACCCCCACCATAGCTGCCTCCACGTCCTCCCTCATAGCCTCCACGTCCTCCCTGGGGGCCCAATCCCCTTCCACCTTGGTAGCTTCCTCCACCCTGTTGTTGTGGTGGAGTCCTTTCAGCAGCCCGCTGAGAACCACGACCACTACCCCCAGAAGGTTCATGCGACTCAGAGCTTTCACCTCCACTAGGAAGTTCAGTTCTCCTCTTCCTCACCATGATGATTTCTACACAAAGAGAAAGCAAGAATGCATCAAAAGCAACACTAGCAAAGAATAAGCTACAAACCCAAAACAATATAATGACAGAGAGCAAAAGAATGGATACTCTAAAAAGAAATTAATGCATAAAGTAGAGCCGCAAAGCAGGTTAGGGTTTTCCATAAAATTCATTTACAAACATATATACAAGGGCTTTCAAAAGGCTGGAAGTTACATATCAAAACCAAAATACACTTATTAACCAGAAATAATAGCAAACAAACAAAAACGATATCCATATATGCTCTTTTATTTGAGTTTTTCTTCAAAAAATTGAAATAAAAATCTTCAATCAGACTGAAAAGTAAGGAATATATTTTTCCTGACGGACCGTTTTTGAAAGGGTCTTGGAATTCCGAAATGACCACAGTGTGTATATCCACTTGGTTCTCTTCTACACCACTACAAACAAATGGGTGGGTGTTTGCTATTTACTTCACAACAAGTGGAGTGATCATTTCGAAAATCCATAATGTAGTAGTAATTTCATGTAAAATTATGTTTCTGAAATTAATACAACAAAATATGAAAATAAAAACAGAACAGAAAATGGCTACTTTGATACAAACCCACGAACTCTAACACCAAAACTCAAAGTTCAATAGCAAACCCAGAAAGAAAAAAAAGAATAGAAAGAAGAAATCGAAATACTCACTATAAACCCTAAAATATCAACTTCTTATGAGGCCAAACAGACACCTATGCTTCCCAGCATTGCCAAAATGCACGAGATCTAACGATCTAACAAAACAAAACCCAAATAAAAATAGAGCGACGACAAGGCCTTTCGGAAAAACAAAAAACAAAACAAAAACGAAAAATGAAAACAGATCTTTGCGCCAGAGACTGGAGCCAACACCAATTTATGGCGAAAGAAGTGCAGATCCATACCACAAATTTGCAAAGAAATAGAAAAGTGAGAACGAAAAAGAAAATATCAACGAAAAAAAGGGCAGTAGGAAACCCTAAAACGACTCGGTTGGGGTGTTTACCGTAAAAGCGGAATACCGATGAACGTCGTACAAGACCACAGCGGTGGTTGCTTTTGGTGCTTCAGAAGCGAGAGAGAAGGATGAAAATGGAAAAAGAAGAGGGGCTCCCTGCCTACTCGATGCTCACTCTCTTTCTCTCTCTCTCTCTCTCTCTCTCTCACTCACTTGAATATTCTATATATTTATGCCGTGCCTGTGTGTTAAAAAACCCAAACCAACAACGCGTTGCACAATGTGCTTTTATATAACCCCACCGAGGGGTAGGTCTTTTGAAATGACCACTGCGTCCTTTCTATTAACCAAATACTCTTCTTTTCTATCTTTTTCTTTTTCTATACTCTCGTCTATCTATTTAATTATTCAATTGCGATGCTTTTATAATTAAAAAAATATTTAAAAATTTGTGCTATAGTCAATCTTGGATTCTTTTATTTTCCTTTTTCAATAGGGTCTTTTACATAATTTCAAACTAAACAAACCGGTCGTATATATGATCCGATTTGTTTTTTTAACGGGTTGACACAAAACGGCCCATTAAGTTAACGGGTGAGAAAGTCCAAACGTGAACACTACTTGCAAAATTAATGCGTTATCTAAAATGAGTCGTTTCATCCACTAAGACAACAAAGCAAATATTAGTTTGACTCGACCCATCAAACAAATGTTAACACCCATTTCATCCGTAATTTAAAAAAATGAAATTCACTAAACTACTAAATAAAACCTTTAATCTAATTTATAATTAAAAACTCAAAAATATTAGGTATTATACATAACGTGTTCGCATGAAACAATCTGTTATTTTAGTGGGTAACTAACGGGTCCATCCTTTTATCAATATTATCTAATAAGTTGCACATGAACCCACAATTTTTCATACATAAATCATGTTAATGAGTTGGGTAAAATTTTGTAAGTGTATATGAGACCTTCTCCAATAAATAGATTTAAAAAGGGCATGAAACTCCGCATTTAGTAGAAGTTTAATGGTACATTTACCTCCTCTACGTAGCTTTTAGCAATGAGATGAAATCATGAATGGTTAAAAAAAAAAAAACCCACAGTAAAATGTATTCCAATTGACCGCCCTATTTTACATATGATTTTTTTTAGTACAAGCGATTGGGTGCGAGTTTGGGGGGGGTGAGGTGCTTGGAGATTTTGAACCTCTACTCACGTGAGTAGAGTTGAAAGAAGTCAACCAACTGAACTAAGTCTATATAGTTAGTACAAAAATGAAATCATATCCATAACTTGCCAACCCAAAATGAATTTCGGGCTGAATTGGTAACTGATCCAGAGGGGAAAATTAGAGGGAGAGTTGGGAGGTGAGGCGGTTACCGGCATGTGTAGCATTGATAGTGACATGGAAAGATGAAAATGTCCACATAGTTTAGATTAGTGACCAACTTTGTCACAAGGATCATCACAACACAAGTTATAATATTATTTGGCCTTGGTAACCACACAGTCAAAAGTAAAAAAGGATCAAAATGATTGTTATGGAAGTTAAGAAGACCCAAATGACGTATATTAATATTATGCACGGAAAAGAAAAATGTTAAGACTGAAACTTCAATCTCTAGCTTGCTTGCTTCGACCCCCCACCGCATGCTGCAAATATAAACATGGTACGAGGGTGGCGGCGCATGCATAATTTAAGTTCATTGGTTGGGTGGATTTTATTTAGGCTTAATTATTTATTGGATGATATAGTTATTATTCATGGATCGTCCTCCTACGCTACATTAATATCATCCATCAATGTCTCTCTATTTTTATGATTATAATTTATATCTAAGCGCAGAGTGAGAGTGGGATTAATTAAGATGGCTGGTAGTCGGAGGATATAAATTAAATTTTAAAACGGTGAAGAGAAAGAAGAGGTGCTGCTGGACCTGGTCGCTGTAATGATTTGAGGATAAAATATCTACATGGATAGTGACGTGGCATAAGCAAGCAACGAGGGAGGAGAGAGAGGGAGGGAGAGAGATAAATGAGATTATTAATTAATTTATGAGAAGGGGATGGTCAACGGGGAGTCGTTCAGTCCACTCAACAACTCCAATTCCATATCACAAGATTGGCCACGACCCGCGACCCGTCTCGATAATACACCACAGACACAGACACAGACAGACAGGGCACTGCACTGCACAACCCAACGCCCGCCCAATGTCCAAAGAAAAGAGCCACACCACAGACGGCTTTGTTTTCATATCTACTCGATTTGCGACACACACCGCCAATTCGCCCACTTCGCACCTCCTTCCCTCTTCTTTTCCCTGACATTTGTACGGTACTAACGGACTGATGCTTTCTCAAAATTACCAATATACCCATTTGCCCATTGGGCCCCTCCAATTGAGCCTCAATCGAACACAACTATTAATTATATATATTGCTAAACAAACAGTGTCCAAACCAAACATAACTACTCATCAGTATTTGTACACTTAAACCCAATAATAATACTAATAATAATAATAATAATAATCTAATTTAATCAGTGCAGGCAGGCAGGCAGGCAGGCAGGCAGAGTCCAAATACCATCTCAGACAGCTTCAAGCTTTTCCAGTTCCATCAGATGAGTCACCAGCACCCGGTGGTTCAACAAAACACATTATCAGTTCACAATTCACAATTCACAATTCACAATTCACCAGGCCCAGCCCAGGATAAGTCACTCAAAACATACATACATAGTCATAGTCATAGACAAGCAAAGGAAAGGTCCCCCTGTCCTTAACACATACTTAACACATCACCAGCCATGATGATGCGCAGCAACTAGCAAGCAAACACATACATCATCATTACTTACTGCAACCATATTATCTTAACTTAATTACAACCATCAAGTGAAGTGAGTGCCCATTATTATTATGATTACCGCACCAGGGTTTAGGGCCCAGGCCAGACAGACTATCTATCCCTAACAGTAGAACATAACCCTTTTCACATTCTCCTTCAGAGCAGGTAAAGGCCTCACAGCAGCATTTGCATTCGGTGCTCGCGTGCCCCGTCCACCCGTGTACCCACGTCCAGCATTCGCACCACTTGTCACTGACCCCCCTTCTGACGTCTGTGGTTCCAGATAGAAACGCGCTCGGAATGCAGCAAGATGTGCATAGTATGCAGGGGGCACTGCCAAATTACATAACTCATCAATTTTACTATTGACTAATAATTGTCACAAAATAACAAGCATCAAATACAAATGCATAAGACAGAGGATGTGTGTTTTGTCACTTTTGTGTGTTTATTTGAGAGAGAGACAGAGAGAGAAAGCTCACCCACGGAAACAGAACGTGTGCACCTTGCATATCTGCATGAGTTGAACCCAATCATTAACCCCCCAAAAAAGAACATAACCAATACATTGAACATGAAATTAAGAGATATATCAAAAACTTACGTATAGCAAAGGTTATTTGTAAGGGTCTGCAATCCATCAGCTGAAAACTTGTTTTCATCCCATAGCACATGGTAATGAGCTGGACGGCTAGTGCCCTGTTTGACATGATGACTACCAATTTAACTACACTCCCAAAACATTTTAGAGTATATATAAACATAGAATTAACCAATCACTACCTGGATTCCAGCATGGCTGCACAAGTAAAAGTCAAATTCAGTTGGATGACAGATTTTGGAGTCGACAACGGTACCTGTAAATTAATGTCAAACTGTTTTATATCACATATGTATGTTCTGAAAATCATGGCAAAAAAATTTCAAATCAAGCAGAATGAATACCAGGTAATATATTCCCACTTCTGTCAACAGCTTTGGGGTCAGAATGGTTGTTGGCAAACAACCTGGTATGATGTCGCTTCTGAACCACAACAAAAGTCACGGGAGGCTGATAGTCAGGCTCCAAAGAGGCACATGCCTGAGTTTACAGAGAACAGAAATATATACATTAAGATGAGGAAGTGATTGACCGACTTTTATCAATTTCCAGACAGCTGCAAAACTTAAAAGAAATTTACAATATATAAATGAAAACTGGAGAAATTGATAACTCAGCAAAGTAGGTTTACTTTACGAATGGCGTCAAGTTCATACAGCAAAACTTGATAAAACTGTCCTTCACTGACACCATCCCTGTAAAGCAATAAATAGACCATTAGATAAGAAAAAGAATGGATGAAATGCAGTGGCAGCATAATATAAGACATGCCTGTAAAATATGATGCGTTGAGGTTTCTGCCCAGTTGATCTACGGAAAGATATGAGCAGTTCCCTGTATTCAAAAGAATAAATATAACTCAATCCTACTACCCAAAACAAATGTTTATTAAAAATAAATAAATTAAATAATCATAATTAAGACAGCTACATACTACAAGAACCTAAACGAATGAGAGAGTCATACTTGATCATGCCACCAGACATTGTCCCTCTTGCTGGATCCTGCCATGTTTTGAACAAATCTTGGATGAGTTCCTGTCGATGGGCTTGAGCAGAAACCAAACCAGCATACTTTGTAACTTCAGGCCAATCTTGAGAAGCCACAACCTGATTTTAAATTAAAATCTTGAAACAGTCAAAAGCTACTCAAGGTGGAACAGAGAATAAAATCATATGCAAGCTAAAGCACATATGTATGGTCAGTAACTCACAGCCGCAATTGATGGACTTGAATCCTCTCCAGGATGAGGATGGGTGACATCAGCACCGAAAATGATGGTAGGTCGGTCGCTGACTAAAGGAATACGCCTTGACAGAGCATCAACTAGCACTGTATTCCTTCCCCCAACCTTCACATTAATCTTCAATGTTACATTTGCCAAATACTGTTGCTTATTTGTCTTAAATACGTGCTTCGTTAAACAGCACTGGGAAACAAGGCCAAGATCTGTCTCACAAATTCGTTTCAAATCACCTGGATAACAAATCATGACATATTTAAGTCCAAGTTTTAATGCTAAAATTAAATAATGACAACTTTTGAAAAGGCATAATGTGGTGAATTTAGTTCAAGTTCCAAACCGTAAAGAGAGCCATTATTATCAGGCAAAATAGCAATAAGCAGCTCAAGCTCCTGGCCCTGTGGCTGGAGTTTGGTCATCGCTTCGTGGTAGCGAGTTTTTAGGGCCCTCTCTACCTGATCTGGACGAGCACTAATAGGTGGAAGAACTGGTTCTGGATTAAATGCCTAGAGGGAAATCAAACACTAACATAAGGCATCTCAGATATAGAGGAGAAGGGAAAAATATAACAGCATCACAAGCCTCATACCATGCCAGAAATGTTACACATTTGAGCAAGTTCATGACAAAACCGACGGGCAGCAGCATCTTGCACGTTCCATGAGAAATTTATGCACATCCAATTGTTGACTGTGCCCCCATTAACCATTTTCTGTAACAATATATAGTAAATAAAAAAAGTCTAAAGAGAATAACATAATCTCTCTATTTTGAAACTCTTACGGAAGTTTACTAATGACTTCAACAAAAGGCACAATCATCTTCCTCCCTCCTGGAGAATGAAAAAAAACACACGCACACACTAACACACAAGAAATGTATTAGGTTATAGAAAAGCAAAATCATGCACGAGCAGTATCAATTAAACCTACTCAACATGAAAGTGACCAATTAGTGGCTAAAATAGCTACATTGCTCAACAGGCAAATGTCACCCATCGGAAAAGCTATATTTAGTGCATGGCTGAATCAACAACCCCCGACAAATTACAACCATGGGTTGTAACACTTGTTATTTGAAAACCCACTGGAACTCAACACAAAAAATATATGCGTTTTAATTGCCAGCAGATGATAGGGCAGGATAGCATGCGCAAGGCCAACCAAATCAGCAACTGATGTAGTTAGCAACTTAGTCCAGAAGAACCAAAATTTCAGACCACATGCCACTCCAGATATGCAATCCACTTCATATTGCAGAGGTGATAACTCTTAAACAGAATCTTGACTAATGATAGTCGAAACCCAGCATCCTCCTACCAGTGCCCAAGCCATAACTTTGCTAAATTTCTAATGATCACCTGACTCATAATATCTGTGGCTGTCTTGAACTTTCCCTTTCCCTCCACCCAACCGCCAAAAGAAGAAAAAGAACTGGGAAAAAATTGAAATACTTGCTTTCCTTCACAATGCAAACACAATGTTTCTTGAACCCACTACCACCTACTTATTTTAGTTTTGCCAATTAATTTCTAAGTCAGTGCTACAGCATTAATAGGAACCCCTAACATCTCCATCACAGGGAAACAAACATGCTAATGTAGCACAAAGTCGATAACAGATTTCATTGGATGCAGCCAAATTAATTGGGTACGCATGCAAACAGATACATATAGATATCCAGCTTCATCTGTGCTTACATTAAAGAGGTATTCTAAATAAGGAAACCATAAATCTATGCAAAAGATACCTTATTCATCATGTTCCACTGTCCAACGCGAGGCAGGCAATCTTTTTCTCTACCCGTATCATGATATTTAAGCTGTGACACAAGATTCAATACTTAATTACCATCCAAATAGTGAAGGAACAAAGGGTGGCACCAATTAGAAAAAAACTATTAGACAGCAGAAAATTAAATATCTCTTACCCTTGGTGCAGGAAGGATGCGAGCTTCAACTAAAGTGAGATTCTCACTTATTTTAATTCCAAACTCTTGAGCATAAGGATCTTCGTGGTAAGCATTTTGACGAACTGTCTGAGGAGTGAAAATTTCAACCAACACATACCAAGTGAGTATATTTTACATATCAGTCCTATGGAGTGTCAAACATCAGGTGCCAACCACATTTAATTTCACTAAAAGAAAGAAAATTTCCACAATATCAAACCTGCATGATATCAAGTTCCCTTTCGTGAGGACGCTGACAGGTCACCTTCAGCAAAGCAGTAATCTGCCTCTCATTCAACCTCCTTGAGTACCTTTGACCCTCAACAATTTTACAGACCTGAACACAATAACGGCCTATTAGCATGCTTTCCCAGTTTATAATGACCAAAAATAGTTACAGTTATTTACCTCCATGGGCAAATAATTTGATCTTTGTTGATTTCCCACTTGTAGACAAGGCAGTTGGGTGTGCTTAATAATGAAACCATAGGTTTCATGAAAGTACTCAACAACTGATTTCATAGTACCTCTTTCATCAAGTGGAAAACTAAACAATCAAAGAACAATATCAGAATATATTTTAAAAAAAGTTTTGGATGCATCTGATATGAATTGGTTTAATTTTAAGAATCAGCTACAGATTTCATAGTACATCCCTCAGGTGAAAAATTAAGGGCCTGTTTGATAAAGATTCTAATTTTCAGTTTTCTTTTTCTTATTTGAGAGACAAATGAGAGATATGATAGAAAAGAGAGAGGGAGATAAAAGATCATAAAGGTGAAGAGAGGCATGAGAAATGTAAAACTAAAAACTACTTAAATTGATTTTAGTTTTTAACTTATACACCATTATATGTATTTTCTCTCCTCTCACGCGCAACTCTATCATCTCTCTTCTCACTCACTTTCAAGTGTATTATTTTTGTTCTTTCACTTTCCTGTTATTTTTTCTTCTCTATCCTTCCACTTTTGACAGGCAAGGCCGAGCCTATAAAAAGCACATCCATAGTTTAGGATGAACATTGATGAAATTAGACATTTAGGGTGGGGGCACTAGAATCGGCCCCAAAGTATGGGGGTTTATGATATTTTCTTAAAATATATAATCTTAAGCAAACATTAATCCTCATGTTTCTACATGGACACACATAACCAATGAAGACAATAGATGTCAATACTCACGTCAGTTCTCTTGTTGCCTGCGATGTCAAACCAGATATGCGGTATTTTCTGCGCATATTTCCACGGTGAGTGACCTCAACCTTGATTCCTCGTAGAGCCTTCTTTATCTGTTCATGCACAAATAGAAAGCTGTGATTCTGATATCTGCTATAAATTAAGGCAAAATTCAAATTCTCCATAGACTGTGTAGACATCCCATCCAGAAAGTTGCACAAAACAAACAAGATCACTTTGTCACAATGAATATATTAGCCTTTATTTATTTTTATTTTTTTAGAAGGATAACATGAAAGTTGATTTTGACACAACATAAGTAGAAAGGAAAAATAAGAGGGAGCTTCTGCTGTGGGATCCTACACCTGCGGGAAAATAAATGGACATTCACCATTCAAAAGGTGCGGCATAAAACATGATCCAACACAAGCACAATGCTGCAGTGGAAGCTCTAGGAGAAATAAAAAAATATATACCAAAATTATCGACACAATTCATCACAAGCACTGCAGACAGAAGTATCAAGACCAAGACAATGAGAAAAATCTAACCTTCACCCGATCAGCATCAGACAATGGTCTGGATGAAATATCTCGATTGAGCAGCTCATTGACAAATTCAATGACCGGCAGTGGCTCAATGAAAGCCGTAGAGGACATATCTGGACCATTGATAATTTTGTCAATGTAACATAAAACATGGCACTGGAAGAAAATGTACACAGTATGCATCAATTGTGGGACAGTCAAATTGATAATAGGTGGTGAACTGGAGAAGAAAAAAAATCATGATAATTGCGTAAAATTTCAATTAAAAAACTTCAAAGATCAGGTACCAATATTCAGAGACAGCCCCATCTGCGTTGGACGAATACTTTGATAGAATCCACGCCAACTTTCCAAACCCTCACCGAGTGACTGCCTTCTCCCCAGATCAGGGGAATAAAATGAACGCCCCACAGGATAGTAACTACAATCAATCAAGACAACACAGAGTTAGCTCTAGAACAATATCAAAGTAATGTGCAATTATTGGCATGTATTGGGCACAATTAGAAGATATATATTGTATACCTAGCAGTAGGCAATTCACGCAGAACAATGTCAAGAACCTGAAGGGCTTCCTGAGGAGCCTCAGCTTGCCTCCCCTGCAGAAAGAGTTCTAGATGGTGCAGGTCAGCACGTGCAGCAAATTTGATCACCACTTTAAATTCTCTCTCCCTCCTGCATCAAGAAGATGAGTAAGAAGACTGTATACAAAACCTATGTACAAATACAAACTGAGCACTGAGTATCCAACCTTTGCCCGCCTGATCCATCATCGTCATCCATAAGTGCAATCTTAAACTCTTTTGATGAGAAAGGAAGTGGCCCAGCAGTATACAGACTCTTGCGCCCGTCATAGGCAGGGAGCCGATTTCCAAGATGGGATTCCCTGTATAAATCCACCAGCCGCTTCATCACAGCCCGATTCAACCTCCGTGATGCAATGTCAGGTGTAATTGTGACCTGCAATAAGTAATATGCATTTGAAAGCAACCATGATCAACATAGGTTTTAGAACAATATCAGAAGGATAGAGACATAGATGGAATGTAAAAGAACTCACATCATACTGGTGCAAATCTTTGTCTGGCAATTCAGCGAAGAAGTGGTTTGCCTTGACTATACATTTTATGCCAGTGGTGCCTCTGCCAGGGCGAAGAGGGAACCTCACAGACTTACTTGAGGCTGGAATGGGTTGAATTGCATGGACAGGAGCAGGAGCAGGAGCAGGAGCAGGAGCACCTTCTTGCTGGATAGAAATCTGGTGAAAAGGCTGTACCAATTCTGAAGACTGAGGCTCATAGGGCGTATAGGGTGCATAGGATGTAGGGCCTGTGGGCTGAGGGGTGACCCCGGCAACATATGGAGCAGGGGTCGCTTGGTGCAGGTCGGGAACTGATGGTCTGGCTGGACCACCAACATAAGAAGGTCCTCCTCCCCCACGGCCACGACCACCGCCGCCTCCGCCGCCATGACCGCCACGACCTCCTCCTGCCTGATTTGGGCCTCCTCCTCCCTGACCACCCCTACCCCTACCTCGATATTCATGCGCCTGAGCCGAGGTCCCAGCATAACTATATTGCTGCTGTTGTGGCATCCCACGGCCACGGCCACCACCACCACCATAGCCTCTCTGGCCTCCTTGTGGTCCTTGTGGGGCCCAGGCTCTTCCACCTTGGTAACTTCCTCCTCTTGGTCCTTCATTGTGTTGTTGGGGTGAAGGTGAAGGTGAAGGTGAAGGTGAAGGGGAAGTCCTTTGGAAGGCTTGATCACTGCCCCCACTACCTTCCTGAGGCTCGGAGCTTTCACCTCCACTAGGATTTTGAGTTCGCTTCTTCCTCCCCATGATGGTTTCCAATTATTGATGGCTGACTGCAGAGCGAGTGCACAGCACACAGATCAAACCATTGTTGATTTGGAGCTTACCCACTCTAAGTAGAAGCTCAAAAACTATTTGAGACTAAATAAGCAAGAAAATCAACATTCAAAGACACTTGAGACTGAAATTCATGGCCAAATCGAGCAGACCCATGCATATCGTTGAATAAGCAAAGCAAATACTTTATATAAGCCTTCAAAATAAGAATAAAATAAAATAATTAAGAAAAGCAAAAACAGAAACCCCTATGCAGAGAGAGAGAGAGAGAGAGAGAGAGAGGGAGAGGTTGTATAACTGACCTTAGAAAATTGAAATGAAACGGCAGTTCGTCAGAGGAGCAATTGCTTTGCTTCTTCTGGTTCTGGGTTCTCTCTCTTCTTTCTCTTCTCTGCTATTCTTTCTCTGTGAGAGAGTGAGGAGAGAGAAATGAAATTTTCCAATGAATGTGATGTGGTACGATACAAAATATATTATTGTAGTACAAGATGAATTTTTTTTATTTTTTGTTTTCTGAGAGTAGAGGTAGACGTAGAATTAGTATTACTTTAATAAAATAAATAAATATATATTATGTAACGGTATCTTGAATTTTAAAACTTAGTGAAACCCGCAATTAACAATGACCTCTGGTAGGTCTTTGAAAATGACAACTCCTCCTCCGTAAGAGAAAGGCGGCAAGAAACCACCTCTGGAGTGTCGTCCTCTCCTTTGGTGCTTCTCTTCTGGACACCACCACTACCACCGCCACCACCAAACCAAGCAAATAATAAACAAATAAAATAATTGGAAACCAACAAAGCGTTTATGTCTTGGTTTGGGTGGCATTAATTGGGGGTGAGTGAATAAACTAATTTTAAATTATATTCTTAGACAAATATAAATTAAAACAAAAAACACTATTTATTTGTTAACTCGTGAAGTTGACTCCACTTGATTTCTTATTTAATAATGTGATTCAATTATGCTAACAGCTCATTTGGTGGGTGTCAAATTCACCTCAACTTAAATTAAAACTTGTTCATAAATAGAATTATTCTTTTCTTATAAAGTTAAGATATATAATTGCCACGCGTCGTCATACATAGAATATTCTACCAGTGCCATAGATCATACATCATGTAACAAAAAGATGTACTACCACCATCCACGAATAAATGGAATGCACTGTTATTTCCACCTATACTTTCATATAATTCCACCATCATTGGGGCGTGGTGGATATTACTCTTCTTTTTTTTTTTCTTCTTTTTTTGGTTATAAATAATGCATGCTTGTGGTTGTGGGTTAGGGTTGCGGGAGCTTGGATATGCAACACAACAAGTATAACTCGAGTACATAGAGAATGGAAAAAGCGTATCTTCAAGTTTAAGGTCATTATTGAAATGGGCCTCGAGTTTTCAATTTCATCAATACAAAACTCAATGTTTCTTTAAATCTGACCAAATTACGCCCTCTATCAACTTCACAATTCGATTTTCTATTTAATTGGTGACGTGGCAAGTTGAATACTCACCTTTTACTCTAAGAAAACAATTATACCAGCAATCGATATTCCAATTAAAGCTAGCTAATGTCATACTTTTGTTTTTATTTTTGTAAAGAACATGTCATGTCTTGAGTTGTTTATAAAATAATAAAAATGTTTAGGTTAGATGATTAACTTTTTCTATAAATGCAAATATATCATATATATATATATATATATATATATATATGTGTGTGTGTGTCGTTTGTATCATGTATGTACTTGGCCTGTAGGTGACCACTATATCTATATTTGCATTTTGCATGGTTTTGATTAGTAATAGCAGGCAGCCCTCCAATTTGACTAGTAATCATCGACATGTGACTTTGTCATTTGGATTGAATTTACACCAAATTGATTAGCAATTATCGACATGTCGCCTTGTCAATATCTTGTAAGTTTGTAAATTGCTGAGTCCCTTCTTGTGAGCTAATACGTACTTACTTCCATGCTCATTATTTTCCAATGCAATTCAAATAAAATAAAGAAAAAAAAAACAATAAATAAATGGAGGGATGAGAGGAGAGAGGTGCATGGTTTCGTGACTGGTGAGGTCATTTGAATAAACTAGTGGGTTTGGTGGGGTAGTGGGGAATAATTCCTTTATTATAATGCTAATCCTATCCTACCTATTACTCGTTGTAGAGTCATAGTGCACTGCATATAATGTAAGACAATGCAATTGATAAAAATACAAATTTATTATGACAATCATGAGAGAAGGTGAGTAATCCCAATAAACGTGTGTAAAGAGAAAGAAAAACTAGAACAAGTGATTAATGCCACTCTTACCCCCATGAAATTCCACGTTTAGTTTATTAGTTTTGTGAATAATATTGTAGGATGATGACACCAAACAAAGTAGGAGTAGCACAGACATGAAGCAAGCAACCAATCATTCATAAGAATAATGTCAAGCTCTCCACATCAAGGTAAAAACCTAATGTTTTATTCGCATGATGGATTTTTCTACTAATGTCCCAGCAAATAGAAGCCTCTCTCATTTGAAGTGCAGATCAGCAATGCGCACCAAATGGAGAAGAAGATAAGAGACTTTTATAATCTTCCTACACCTACAGACAGAGAGCCCAACATCACTCACCTAATTGGAACCTCATTGGAGTTTCATTCTTTCTTCAAATTCATGGTCATTAAACAAATTATTATGCCAAGTTGCCAACTCAACTCATTTGTTTTCCTGTCAAGTCTCTATACACTATACACATCATATTATATGCTTATACTCTGTCCTTTCTTTTCTTCTTCTCTGATTTGGGTAAACAACTGATAAAGATAGAATATCTGACCTACACCAAAATCCTCTATCAATCCACTGGACTCAGAGGGCGTTTGCACTGTTTTCAAAGGAGTTCATCAGAAGTAGAAAAAAAAAAATATTTCATCCATTCCATAGTATAAATCCAGACTCACATTCCAGAAGCTCTGAGCTATCACTCAGTTCCTCTTTTATTGAATCTTCCAAAATGTTTGGCCACCATTTTTAAAAGGGAATGAATTGAAGTGCCTGCCACATCCCAATGCACTGCTCTCAATGGCAAGTAAATTTCTTATCCTATGTTCAAAGTAAAAAGAAAACCAATTATTCAATAATATCTGCAGCAAGTAATGAAATTGCTCAATCAACCGCAAATGAAACTAACCTGCTAAGCCAATAATCATAAAGCCAAAGGGACAAGGGGAAGGTTGAATGCACCCATGAATCTTCTTCTTCACCAAAAGTCAGCACAGTTGCAAATTCCATCTTTGAAATGATGAAACCGACTCAAATCTCTTACAATTATTTCTCTCTTTGTAATAAGAGTGATCACCTTTATGGCAGCATGGCAATCACCACAAACCCGCAAATTCTTGGTAACTAAGATGGGTTTGTGATCGGTTCATAATTGTATATCATTTTGTACCCTTCTAGCTTATGATTTGGTTATGTTTTTTAGTTAAACTTGTGCTTTTAATCCTTTTTGTGTTTATCTTTCAGTTCATTGAGCTTTAGGTAATAATGAGGGCTTTGGATAGTAAATGATGCAATCCATGCATGTTAGGGCCTAATTTGGATGAATGGATGAAGAGCTTAAAGACAAACTCAATTTTGGCTACAGTCCCCTGCCAGCCCAGTTTCGTAGGTCATATTGCAAGCTTTGTTTCAGCAACCTACATAGCTCGGATGAGGCCACATTCTTCATGAAAGTTGTTCCAATGGGTGTATCCTATAACATATCCAAAATTCAGCCCCATTGGATAAATCTGGAGTCCGTTACCTAGCAAACACAGAGCCATGCTCAGGATGGATTTTATCAGCGCGCAAAATGAGTTAGCAATTTGTTTTGGCCTTAACTTCCTCCTCCGACCTTGGATTGGCCCAAATGATATATAGATGGAAAGAAGACATTCTGAACTTCAAGTTTGAATGCTTAAAGTCTTAATTTGCTTAAGGGAAGCCCAATGCGTAAGCCCTTGAAGTTGCTGGTCATGCTGACCTCAGCATGTGCTGGTTGGATGCTTGGTCATGGTGAGCTAGGTATGAGCTATCATTTCTGGTTGGAAGCTTGGTCATGGTGACATGAAGATGAGCTAGGGCTGCTGGTGGGATCTATTGGTGAAGTGCATCAACCAATTCAAATTTTCTAATACAAGTGCATCAACCAATTCAAGATTTTATAATACAAGTGTTGTATGCATTAGCCATATTGAATTCAGAGTTTTGAGAGTTTTGAGTGAAATCCAATCGCTAGAAGTATGGAATAGACCAACCAATCCAATTAGGAACGAACTGCCGTTGAACTTGAATTGTCCAATTTCTCACACCTATTGATTTCGGATCGAGCCCCAAACTTGGGCAACATCATAATATGGTGGGAGGAGTCATTTGGTGAGGTTTGAGTGAAATCCAATCGCTAGAAGTATGGAATACACCAACCACTCCAATTAGAAACGAACT